TCTCTCTCTCTCTCTCTCTCTCTCTCTCTCTCTCTCTCTCTCTCTCTCTCTCTCTCTCTCTCTCTCTCTCTCTCTCTCTCTCCCTCCCCCCCCTCATCTTCCTCCGTTCCTTCAAAATTCCTTAACCCCTAAAGCCTTCCGTCCCCCCTTCCCCTCCATGGCATGTGGCTAACTTCTATCCTCACCGTTACATTGCTAGGGAACGAACGGAAAGGAACTTGGTCCCCACTTGGTGGAAAGCGAGGGCAAGGGAAGGGCTGCCGGTCCCTTGTCCCACCAAGAAGGAGAGGATACGCGACTATTGAGGACGTTGGTGAGAGCAAAAAGGAGTGTTGTTTTGGACAAGGTCAGTCGACTCAACCACCTCCTCGACTGCATGCCCGAGTAAGAAGAGTGTGGTTTGACTGTGAGGAAGGAAGRAAAGCACCCAAAAGCATGGAAAAAGGAAAGGGAAGACTTGGACTTGCATGAGGGGCGGTGTGTTGACCCCATCGGGGACGGACGTATGCCATTGTCATGTTTATTTGGATGTGTTGCAGGTAAGTGGCTTGGACGATCTGGCAATGAAGGGATTGTGCGACATGGGACCGTAAGGAGGGAAAGGGGGTTTGAATCTCGAATGGCCGGGATGGACTTCGGGCTTTGACGATTGCATGACTAGCGCGACCTGAAAAGGCTAAGGGTCGGGGATGGGGTTGGAGCCTGACTTTGTCGTGATGTGTGGTTGTGCCTGGGTCACGAGCTTGGTACGGCCGCTTGGAAGGACTAAGGGCGGTCACGAGACCTGGGAGATGTATGCGTAGGCCGACTAGAGGAAAGATATGGGCTAGGGGGAGAGGGATGAGCCGCCTCGATGATGCTATAGGAAACTAGGGCCGTTAGTGAAGGAGTGCGTGGCCTAAGGAGAACGCTTAGCCTACGCACCGTAAAGAAGAGAAAGCTCTCAATGAACCTCCCTGGACTGCCTGAGTATTGGAAGGAGCAATTGCCTGGTAAGACAAACGGAGAATCGAAAACCTTACGCCTGCGGACCTAGACCAGTGAGGCTACCACCCGGCTAGAGAGCTGAGCTACATCCCCAATGTCAAGCTCTGTCGCCCTATTGGCCCAACCCCATCCATCTCATAGCATTAGGTGGGGGTGCCCGTCGGACGAACGACCTGCGCCCTGAGAATGAGCGTGGGCGGGTCGAGCCAAGTGGGACTCGCAGTGGGGTCGACCAAGGCTCAAAAGTCCTTCAGGGTTCGGCCCCGACAAAATGGTGGAGGTGCCGAGTATGGGTTAAATTGACCCATACGATCTCGAGGGGGGCGCCCGACGCATGACCGAGAACACAAACGTAAAGATAAGGAATATGGACTTGTGTGTGCTCTATCCTCTGAGAGAATCAGATTTGAGGGTGGCTGGGCACATGGCAAGGCCAGGCCCGGAGGAAGAACATGCATGTTTGCACTTTTACTCAGCTATCATCTTTGAAGATGACTCTAGTCCTCCTTCCCTTGGACTGATGTTCGTCAGACCGGGGAAGCCTTGGGCAAGCCGCAGGTGGACCCTTCCTCTTCGTGTGAAAGAAGGGCTCCGGTTACCTGGCAGGCGGTTGGGATTCCGGGCCAGTCCGGGTTCCAATGAAAATCCCACGGCAGAGTGATCCGACCGACCTGGGTGCTTCTCTGCTTCTCTTCGGAGCCCAGTGGGCTCCGTGCACCGCACTTAAATGCTTGAAGGAACCTCATACGAACACAAGCGGTAATCGAGAAGGAACAATCCTGCCCTATGAACGGACACAGAAGTGAAGATGAAGGGAATGAAGGGAGTTGCTAGACTCCAGGGAAAAACTAGCTCCCCCTTGAAGATGCTCACGAAAAGGAACCGGGCACTATGTATGGAAAGCAGGGGTGAGTGGCATAGGCTGTCCTGAGAAAACATTTGTGAGCTAAGGGTAGGAAGCGCTGGGTGCACCAGGGGAAAGGCACTTTTGTGATGTGTGTCCCACTTGGGGCTTGTGATTGCATGATTGGGATTTCGAGCGTCTTGCCATTCGGAAGGAAAGGATTGGTTTGCGCCGGCCGGTGCGGGACGCGAACTGGTCATCGTCTTTGAAGTTCACCGGGTTCCGTGTGTGGGGGTCAGGCCACTGGACTGTCAGGCAAGGGTTGGTCTCGTCGGCTGATTAGTTGTATTCTCACCCGAGCGGTCCGAGCATGGCTTGATGACCTTGCCCAGGTGGGATGTGAAACCTCTTCAGGTGAGGCGGCTGCTTGTCGGCAGACAACAGGGGGACCACTGCATATGGGGCAAGGAAGGAGCCTCGGAGGCGATTAAGAGCATTCTCGTAGCATGGCTTGGGAAAAGCTGTTCCTTATCGGACCGATGGAAGTGAATGCCTGAACGGCTGGCTCCAATGGCCCTACCGAGATGTGCGGGGTGATTCCCGAGATTAACGGTGGGTACACGAGCGGCAAGTCGGGATGGGGTATTCTGGGTAAGGAGGAAAGGGCGAATGCCTTGCCGAGACCTGGGTACCGCGCTCGTGACGGTTGAGCTGTTCTGGAGGTTTGGGCTGAAAACCTTGCCGATAGTAACAGTGGATAGACCATTTCTGGGAAAAAGGTCGGTGAGGAGATGACCGACCTGTGTGTGACGTTTGCCTGGTTTTGCTTTTGTGCCTCCCTCTGTAAAGTTGCCTGATGAATGTTGGAAGGGGACCGAGCTTCTAAGTCTATTCTCACCTCCAAGTCTGAGTCCGCACGAGAGAGAGAACATGAGGAAGAGGTTGGATAGGAGTCGGAAGAAGGTGGAACCAAGAAAAAGGAATGTGAGCCACTGGTGATCGATTGGGGGGGGGGACTAGTTAGGGATGTGGCGCTGGCTGATATGCTTGGAGGATGGGCAGAGAACTTTAGGGAGACCTTGATGAGGGGTCTCTAAAACAACGCTCATCTAGGATAATGGTGGACCTAACCCGAGGGCCGATTGGTGCGCTCATTGGATGAAATAGGTCTTAGCCACCGGTATAAAGAAGGCAGGATGGCGCACTGGCTGGCGTCGCCAACCTACTCAGATGGACCAGAGATGCCAATAGATGTGAAGGGTGGGGTATCAGGAAGGAACGTGGACGGACCTGGAGCCGGCCTATCAAACCGTAATGCTGGCCGAAAGTGATGCCTTTCTATGGATTGAAACGATGTGGACTAAGGTAACCTTGACCAGGATAACGCCGTGCCTATTTGACTTAGAGTTCCGGGGGACCGTGGAATCCCGGGGATGGATCTACCTGTCAAAGGAAAGGGAGACTACGATGGTTGTCGAACTCACCTTGGGGAAACTTCCGTACAAACTGTTCAGGGAGGTCGAGCGGGAAGTAGTGTGGGCCGCGTGCCAATGAGTGAAGATGACGATGGAATCGGTTGATGTGCGGGTAAAACTTGGGGATAGGGAAAACGTGAGGAAGCCATACAGGGCCCTAAGGTGTGTCATGCCGCCCTTCATGGTTGACGCCGTCTTTGGAACCCGGAGTAGGTTGGTGCGAATATGCAGGGCCGTGGCAGGATTGGGGTTGCACCAGGGAGCCCACCAGGATTTCTTCCGGCTGTCGGTCGAAATGGGACCCTTCGAGGGAAACTGGGCAAGGGAACTGGCCGAGATTTTAAACCATCTCAGCACAGACGGCCTGTTCATCCCAAGCGACGTGCACTGGCGGATAGTTTACAGGAATGTTGCGGTAGGGGAAATCTTTCTGGAGGGTGTACGGGACCTGTGGCCTGAAGAGAATTAAAATGACTCCGAGGAGGAGGACGAGATGGAAATCGAGGAATGGGATTTCTAGGGAAAAGGGGGGGCTGAGGACGGAGTGGTTGGGTTGCGTGGGGGTATGCAAGGAATCAAGGATGGCAAGGGAGCAAAGCTTGTGGGCATGGATGTTTAGAGGATGGACACCTAGGAGGGTTGAGGGCGGGGTAGAGATGGTCTTGCCAACAAGGAACAAGTGGCGCGGCGCGGCGTGCGACTGGGTGGGAGTAGAGATGGTACCGACTATGTCCTTTTTGTGGGTAGAACAGGTGTGGGATCCGATTCGATAAAATGAGGCGTGGGATGAAATAGCCGAGGGGAATGTGGAAGCACTTGGGACGGTGTGCCTTTCGAAGAATGGGTGGTATATGTTTTGCATGCACCTAGCGGCGGGACGAGACCCGATGTGGATTTTAGAGGATGCCGAGCGGTTAACTTGGGAAATGGGGCAGGATTTTGCAAATGAGGGGTGGGATGAAGTGGGAAGCAGGGTCGTGATGGGGGGATGGGAGGACCTTAGGCTCCCCTACCAGTTAGTCCAGGTGAGGGTGCCACATTTTGTTGCAGACTGGTTCGGAGGGTACGAACATATCCGCGCCGTAGCGAAATCCATGAACGAGGTGGAGATAGGCTTCGCCTGGTTATCAGATGCTTATTACGAGGCGTCGTTGCGATTCGGGCCGTTTCACGGGGACCAGGCTGAGGAAGTGGTTGAGATCCTGAAGGAACTGAAGGACTACCGACTAGAGGTAGGAGAGGAAGTCGAGGAGGCGATACTCCGTCGGGAAATAGCCGCAGCACCCTCGTATGTAGGGGACGTCTTCTTGCTGTTTGAGGTACTATGGATTTGAATACGGACCTCGGAAGACAGGGGAATAGGGGGGATTGACTGGGAAAAGAAAGGGCATTGTACATTAAAGGAAGGGGTAGTGTACACAAGAGAGGGGGGGGGGGCGAAATAGAGAGGGGGGAGGCTAGGGTAACTAGGAGACAAGGGGAGAAGACGAGAACTAAGGGAACTTGATTAATGTGGTGCATGCAGAAATCAAGAGTGAGGAGCGGGAGTAGGGAACGAGAAATGGCTAGGCGTATGACGCTTTGGGAAACTCGGCCGCGAGGGATCTTGTCGCCAAGTTTCTTGGATAGAAGGGTGGAGGTTAGCCTGCCCTCCAGAGGCGGGGTGTATAATCCGGTGATGGACTGGGTTGGGGAAGAACTGGTAGAGGACACGGTGTACCTGGTGGTGGAACTAGAATGGCGCGCAAGGGGTGAGTTTGGGGGCACCAACCTGGAATTGCCAGGACGGGTGCGCGCGACAGGGTCCCTATACTTGTCGGAGGCGGGATGGCGGACCTTCGGGGTGGCCTTGGCGGATGGCGGTGACCCCGTACGGATGTTTGACGGGGCGTGGCAGGTGACCTGGAGGGAAGGGTTTGCGTTCGCCAACCCGGACCAGGATGACGTGACGACGACCGTCCGGGTGGTCGAGGTAGGAGCTAGTATCTTGCCTTATGAAAATGTGCGCATGGTCTTGCCACCCTTTGGTCTTGCCACCCTTTTTGCTTGAGCGAATGGGAGGGGTAGAACGTGCTGAGATGGCAGTAATAGCCCTGGGTAGGTTGAGTTTTAGTAATATGACCGTCTATGGAGAATACTACTGGGCCTTTCTGGAACTAGGGCCGTTCGATGAGGAGCAAGAGCACGAGGTGCTAAACATTCTACAGGCCGTAGTGGGCACTAGACCTGGAATACCGACGGTAACCAAGGAAGTCATGTGGGAGATAGCTAGGCGCGAGATAGGATGCGGGTTGACGTATGTGGATGACGTCCGCGGGCTGTTCGAGGGGGTAGAAGAGTAGGGGGCAGAAAAGAAAAGCAAGGGGGAAGGTAGATCAGCGGGATCGGGCTATAAGGGGGCTTGAAGAAAACTAAAAAGAGAGGTTCCTTTTCCCTTTTTCCCTTTTTTTTTTTTTTTTTGTTCGTGGTGAATGCAGGGCGATATTCGCCAACAATGGCGGCAAGACGCGTCCGTACGAATCGGCGGGACATGCACCCGCAACCGCCCATGGAAACCGGTGGCGGATGGGAATTGTCACTCCCGGCAAGCTACATTGTCCGGGGGATAGATACGGAATGGCGGGCTGTGACCCTAGGACGGAATCAGGCTTTCATGCTAGTTGAATGCCTATGAGGTGGCATGAGATTCGATAGGGGGCCAGGAGACGACTTATATACTGACCTCAGGGTGACAGGGACTCTATATTTCCCAGAAATCGGGTGGCAAATGTTGGGAACTGGACTGGCCTTGGGGCATGGGTTGTTACCAGTGTTTCGGAGGGCAGTCAGGGTCCTGAACCGGATAGGCCATGAGGTTAGGGGAAGACGAAATGTGGGATTAAGGACGCGAGTAGAAGTAGGGGGATGGCGAGACTTTAGGGCCCCTATGTCGGGACTGCGCTGCCGGGTGCCCCGGTTCATGGTTGATTTGATTTTTGGGAGTCTCGCGCGGGCAAGGAACCTGGTGAATTCAACCGTAATCTGGGAACGCTACTTCTCACCACAGGCCACGGGGATGTTCTATGACGTGGCAGTAAGGCACGGACCGTTCTGGGGAAATCGGGCGCGAGAATTACTGGAACTTCTTGAGATCCTGATATTCGGAACGCCCCGTCTGTCGTTTGAGGAATACGAGCCAATAATCATAAGGGAGATCGAGATGGGGGAGAACTATCTCGCAGGGGTGGCAAGACTATTTGAGGAACCGGATGAGAGGGAGAGACCGGAAGAGCCAGCATAGGAAAGATGCCGGGAAAGATGGTAGAAATAAGAACCAAAGGGAAAGAAAAATAGGTATAAAAGAACCGATYGGATGGCCRCGACCAGGTCTACCATGGGTTGAACAYATGCCAGAAAAAGGGGGGGGRAGAGACGCCGTTGCAACCAAAGGTGCGGCCAAGATACCTAGGATAAGCAAAGGGAAGAGCAAAAAGGGGTGAAAAATAGGCAATTCTAAAGGCTAAGAGAATTATGTGCGGTTGCAAAAAAAAAAATTTCCCTTCTTCTATATCACAGGGCTAGAGGAAGGAAAACATGGCCACGGGAGACGAGGCCGGAAGTCAATTGAGGGACGAAAATCAGGACGTAGAGGACGACGTCGATCAAGAAGAGCGGGACCTAGGGGATCGGGGGTCGGCAAAATCACTAGAAAACAAGGAGAGGAGCAAGGACGCTGTGCCCGGGGAAGATTCAGGAAAGAGCGGGGGAAGTAAACGAGGGACTCCGAGAACCAAGGAAGTCAGAGACAGGGAGAGTCCGGCACGTCAGCAGCCCGAGGGGGCGGAGCCGAAAAAGGTCAGGCTAACGGATGCACGGAGAAAGCTAGCCGAAGTAGAGAGACGCACGACATAATACAGGGCAAAACTATTGGAAGAGATCATGAACGATGCCGAGAAAAATGCCGCTGATGACAGGATGTGGGAAGAAGGGGAACAGGACCTCGGGCAAGGAAGCCAGGATGGGGATGCACAACATAGGAAGGATCGGCCCAGAGACACGAGGGACACCCCAACAAGGAAAGGGAAAGAAGGAATAGAATTCCTTAGGGAGGATAGGGATAGACCAGTCAATCCACCCCTACTGGACAGCGGAGCAAGCCGACCCTCGGCGTCGCCTGTAAGTGTAAGAGGATGCGAGGGACTCTGGAGCCTGAGGGAAAGGGTGCTAGGATGGTTTGACCCGGAAGGGATCGCAAAGCCAAAAGGGCAACTCGATTTTAGCAAGGAAGGCGCCGGTCCGAGTTCCATGACAGGACCTGGGATGATTGAGGGAGGGCTTAGGAAGGTGGTGTTGTCCCTCACGCGTGCTCTAAGCAAAAACCAGGAATACTTGGCCGACGCCAAGAAAAAGCTGACTTTCGATGGCGGAAACATCACCAAGTTCCTAATCGGTTATGAAAATCTAGCAGCCTTACTAAGATGGACTGAGGAGGAAAAGATGGAGCACCTAGGCCAGCATGTGTCACTCAACTTAGGTAGGGACATAATGGCAATCGTCGCAACAAGCGGATCATGGAAAGAGGCCAGGGACGTGATGATGAGGAAGTATCTAGCAGACGAAAAGATGGCCACGGAGGCGGAACTGGCTACAGTGCAGAGGAAGAATTTCGCAACATACAGCGACTTCCTAAGGGAGTTTACTCTCGTAGCACTACGAATCCCCGGAGTGACAGATCGAATAATGAGCAAGTACTTCCTAAAGCAGTTCACCGAGTTTGACAAAGATAAGATTTTGTCCGCCTACCAGCAGACAGCAAAGTTCCTGAACACTAGAGACGTAGATTTCAGCACTATAACGGATATTGCAGAGAAGATGGTGGTGACTGACTCGTTGGCCCTGCTAAAAGAAGGAGAGATCATAGATTTGACAGGCAAGACTGGAGATAAAGTGAAGAAAGGAATCGAAAGCCTGCACGAGCGGGTCTATGGGGTTGACGGCAAGATAGAGAGAGTAGAGAATGCCTTACTCGTGATGCAAGCCCAGGTCTCGCAAACGCAAGCAGTACGACCTCCCCTTCCGCCACAAGAGGCAATCGTACCCCCAGGGATAGCCAACCGCGGCAATAATCGAAAGGACCCGGCCAATGAGCAGTGCAAGTACTGCACGATAGTCGGGCATTTTGTCTGTATGTGTCCCAGGCTTAACCACGATATCATCCTTAAACGGTGCTTTAGAACTTTGCGCGGTGAAATCCTGGGGCCACGAGGAGAGAGGGTAAACTGGAACTCGCTGGGAGGGATGCGCAGAGCAGTAATCGCACTTAACAACCTGGATGCAGCCGCGGTTGAGGCCGAACCAGTAGAGGAACTTACCTGGGGACAGGCACCCGGGCGAGGGCACCAGGTCAACTTCATCACCGAGAGTGATGACCGCGACGGGGTTAACGTGACCACTAGACAACGGGGTGCTACAAAGAAGGTAATTCAGGATGCAGTCATGGCACACGCGCAGGAAGGATCGAATCCGCCAGCAGAATCGGACCAGGACAAAGTTTACGGCAAGCCTAGGGAGGAGGCGCCCGTAGACAAAGTAACATCCGCAAAGAAGAAATTTAGGTACCAGATCCCTATCCTTGCCGATCCTGAGATAGACCATACCCTTAGCCAGTTAGTTGCTAGGGACCATGGTATCGGTTTCCTTCCAGACCATGTTGCAGGCTAGTCCTAGACTACTAAAGGGCCTAAGACAGCTGCTAACAAGGCAAAGGGTGGAAGTAGCGGAGGAACCGAATGTACGCGAAGAAGGCAAGGAAGAGGAGCCACCGCGGGAAGTGGCAAGCCTTCAGAGGGCCCGCGAGGATCTGTAAGATCTAGAGAAGGCCTTGGCAGACATCCGGCTTAGTCTGCCAGACCGGGAAGGCGGAGAAGTCATGAGGGCACCGCCTGGCACGAAACTGAGTTTCCATGCGCTATCGGTAGGGACACTGAAATCCAGATTGGCACCCACCATACGGATGCACTGGTAGATGGCGGGGCAGAAATCACACTGATTCGCAAGGACTTTGCAACAATTGTTGGGTGCCCAATCAACCGGGAGGTCACGGGGAGTGTCCGGGGAGCAAGTGGGGAAATCCCCTTTTCCAGCTATGTTACCAAGTGCACAGTTAAAGCCGGGGTTAGAGAGTCTATATGGTCGTTCCAACGAATGACCGTCATGGACGAAATGGACCATGACGTGATCCTCGGGCGCCCGTGGTGTGCGAACGTAGAAATGATCGGGATGCATCTGCACGACGGCGCCTACATGGTAGACATAGAGGACCCGGTGACAGGACGAGGTGAGTTGCTTCGCCTTATGGGAATCGGGGGAGACACGCCAAAAGGGAAGCTTGCAACCTGGTCACCCTCCTTTGAGGAGAGCGCTAGAAAGGGGGCTTTCGCACGCATGGAAGGGATGAGAGAGAGGGTGGAAATTATGATCGAAGAGGCCTTTAATAAGAAAGAATGGGTCAAGATGGGACTCCCGATGAAGAAACGTAAGTCAGACGAAGACGCCCTGGGAGTCATGGTAGTAGAGAAGGAAACAGAGATGGAATTGGGAGCCAGTTTGCCCAAGCACGGGGAGATCCGGGATAAGAAGGATAAGGTCACAATAGAAATCCCAGACTTACTGCAGCTTGTCAAAGCAATCAGGTACCACAAAGTGGCCGTTGACTCGGCCGCCCTCGCCCGCTTTGAGGAGAGGGTCCAAAAAGGCTATTGCCTAAATGGGGAGTTGGTCAGTATTCAGCCCCGCATTGTGGAAGCCCCGCAAGCAACTCTGGCCGTTCATTTTTTAGAAGAAAGATCCTGGAAGGAAGCGTTCGGAGGTATAAGCCCGTAGGAAAGAAGGTGAAGCCGGTCTCCATCTTGCTCGAGATGACTAAGGAGGAGGCCATGGAAAAGGAGGAGGAGGTTCTTCGGGTAATTAGAGAAAGGAGGGTGGCAGAAGGACATAGGATACCGGATGAGGTGGCCCAAACCATGAAGATCGGAGTAAAGGGTTTTCTGACGGAGCAAGAAACACAGGCAATCAAAGAAGTATGCCAAGAATCTCACCTAGCATTCGCTTTCAATGACCATTAGAAAGGGCGCCTGGACGCTAAGTTGATTCCACCAGTCAGGATCCACACGGTCGAGCATGAGTGTTGGAATGACAAGGGACCGGCCTATGACTGGCAAGGGTGACTTCTTCAGATGTGAGAATATTTTTCAGGGTCTGGACGGCCGATTCTCTTTGCTCAGTCCAATCGAGCGTGCCTTCTTCACGGATCATGGCTCGAATCGATTCCGCTATCTTTGCGAACCCTTTTATGAAGATTCTCCAAAAGCCTACCACCCCCAGGAATGCCCTGACTTCTGTTGTAGTTCGAAGGGGCGTAGGCTTCCATAGGGCCCACAACGAAATCCCAAAATTGTGACTTCAAGAACTGCCAGGATACTCTTCGGACCGCTAGCGGTTATGTTGTATTCTAGGAATCTTCGCAGCAGCTCTCTAATATCCTGCAGGTGGTCCCAAACAAACTTTCTTATCCCCGACTGGACTTCGGTCTCATCCTTCTCCCGTGCTCCTTTGACAGGGTTGTCGTCAATGTAGGGCTCACATTTGTCTGGGAACATGTCCCCGGCCACCGCGAGCATCCTCCTTTGTGCCTATGCTACCGCATTAGTAAATCCCATAGGCGTGACCTGCATCTGCAACTGTCCTACTGGCGTATGCCTAATCGTGTAGAGCCTATCTCGTGCGTCCACCGGGAGCTGGTCGTATCCTGAGTACAGATCTATCAAGGAGTAAATACTGCGTCCGGCATGGGATTCCGCTAGGAGATCTGCCTGCGGCAACGATCCTGCATCTCGGATGGTGACAGCATTTAACTTTTGCAGGTCCTGAATCCACCTAAGTGACTTGTTGGGCTTGCGGAATACAAACCACTTGTTGGCATAAGGAGACGCGGTGGGTTCTGCCACGAAGGAGTCCATTTTTGCCCTTCAACGACGAGGTCGGTCGACCTTTCATCCTTGAGACGGATGGAGGACCAATGGCAGTCGGCGGGGTGCTAATTCAAGAAGGCGAAGATGGTAGAGAGCGACCGATCAGATTTGAGAGTAGGACGCTCAATTCGGCAGAGCGGCGCTACTCTCAGTTCAAGAAGGAGGTACTTGCAATACTGCATTGCCTCAAGACCTTTCAGGCTTACCTCTTCGGAAGGAGGTTTATCCTGAGGATAGACCCAACCAATGTCGTCGGGGCCCTAAAGAACTATAAGCCTATAGAACTGACTGTTGGAAGATGGGTAGGATTTATCTGGCAGTTCGACTATAAGATTGAGCGCATAGCCGGCCTTAGGAATCGAGCAGACGGACTAAGCAAGGTGGCTCTCACACCCGAAGGGCTAGAAGAGGCAAAGCCGATCGACTCGTTCCTCGACTACGAGGGCGGGACGCTGGTAGTAGACAGCGAGATGGCCGGAACCACTTGCACAACTGGGGAGCTATTGATCAAAGTACTCGAAAAGGGGCCTCCGGCAGTGGTTGCCGAGTTAAGGAAAGGAACGGTCACCAGAGTTGGAAGGAGGGAAGAGAAGGACGCCTGGGGCAGTGTTGTGAAGCCCCGGGATGAACAAATCGCACTATCCATTGAGGGAGGCTAGAGAAGGGTTATGAGCATGATGGAGTCTCAGAAGCTGGAGATGCAGCACTATCAGGCCTATCAGGTGGATAATAATCAGACGGGTACTCAGGAAGAAGAGCAATTATTCCTCATCAAGTCATATGAAGGTTTGTTCAGAGAAATTGGGTTGCTACTGGTAGGAAACAAGGAACCCCACGAGGTTAGTCCTAAAGCTAGGGAGGAAGCGAATAGGTATGTGCTTAGAAGGGGGCACCTATTCCGTAAGGAGGAAGGCCTGACGCCCAGGAGAGTAGTCTGTGGAAGGACGCGATAGCTCGACATTATTCAGGCCATGCATGACGGATTGGTCGGTGGTCATCGCTCATCCAAAGGGACCCTAGCCAAGATAACGCCGCTCTATTATTGGCCGGGAATGACATCGATGGTAGCCACGTACTGCCAGACCTGCAAAATCTGCCAGGAACGAAGCACGGTCCGCATTTTCGAGCCACTTAGACCCACCCGCGTGCTGGGGCCAAGGCATATGGTACATCTCGACCTGACAGTCATGTCGGTTTCCAGAAAAGGGTACAGGTACATACTTGACGCAAGGGATAACCTTAGTGGGTTTGTCGAGGCAACCGCACTCAAGAAGAAAACTGGGTTTGCAGTTGCAGACTGGGTGGAGGACTTTTATCTGAGGCACCCGTTCATCAGGAGATTCATAGCCGACAATGGGGTTGAGTTTGTGAATCAGGACGTCCTGAATACCTGCAAGAGGCTTGGCGTCCCGATCAAATTGACAGAACCATACCACCCTGAGGCCAACGCGCCAGTCAAGCGAGGGCACCAAACGCTTAAGAACACGATTGCAAAGTTGGCAGCAGATGGGAACTGGCCGGACTATCTCAGACAAGCGGTATTTCCCGAGAATATGACACCAAAAAGGACGACGGGATGCATCCCGGCAGAGCTATGGTATGGCAAGGAGATTGACTTTCCGGTAGAGGCCCTAGTACCCACCTGGAACAAACTGGAAGATGACCCTCATCTGACTACGGAACAGTTGATTGACGCAAGGTGTGAACAAGCGGCCAGGAACGAGGAAGCCTTGGAAGAAATAACTCACAAGGTACTAGACAGTCGAATGAAGGACAAAACCAGGTGCGACCAGTTGAAGAACATCCGGAAGGAGCCTCTGCAGGTCGGGGAGATGGTCCTAGTTAGAAATTCGGCACTAGAAACTACATGGTCAGGCCAGTTGAGGCGGCGATTCAAGGGACCTTACCGTATTGCAAGAAAATTGGGTGTGAGCACGTTTGAGATTGAGAACCTGGATGGGATCACTATAAGGGGGCTAGTCTCTGCGCAACGACTGGTCAGGTTTCTCACTAGGGATCCGGTGGAACAATGGCTGCAAGAAGCCCATGATAAGGAGGCGGAAGACTAAGGCCGCTCAAGACAGTGGCAAGAGGCCTACTTATTGCTTGTGCTTCTGGTTGTTGTCTTTTGTTTTTTTTGTGTGTTTCTTTCCTTTTGACGTTCCTCCTTTTTTTTCTTCTTCATGCCTTTCTGTTTCCGTGGGAGCAACCGGGATTCGGGGACACGTGTGGGCAGAGCCTGGGATGAGTATCACAAGGGAATGGGTTGGGGCTTTCTCATATCTTGTGTCCTGCCTTTCAGGTATAGAAGTCACGCGGACCAAGATGGCACCCAACAACGAGAACGATATTAATCAAGCAAACATCAATGTTGAGGACCCATGGCGGCAACCAGAGAGGCCGCAAAACAGAAACAGACCAGTGCTCGTAATAGGACCGCAACCCCGGCCCCCTGTGAGGACGGGAAAAAAGAAGATGCTAGGACCAGCACAAGGAAGAACCTGGGCAGGGAAGCCGGGAAGACGCTAAGGGATCCACAGAAGATGACAGTGAGACAGGGGAGGACATTCCGGAGATTGTAATTGTAAGTAGCGATGACGAGGTGAATAGGGTCTCAAGGCCCAGGCCGGAAGGACAGGCATCAACAAGCAGGGCCTCAGAGGAGGTCCATGATTGGGAGGAGGTATTCGGCCCCACACCCAGTCATTGGTTCGAGGTGTGGGCCAGCACTTTCAGACATGACTGGAT